TCAACAGGTTAATCATTAATATTTGGAGGATTTTCTTGCCATGCTGTATTAGGAGGAGAAGATCACCAGACAGAGAGACATTTAAATTGTTTTATTTAACTAAAGCAACAACAAGTATTCTGGATTTTCTTCTTCAATAGCAAACATAATATTTTAACAAAAAAGCATATGTCCCTCGCTTCTCACATTTATCTCCAGACTTCCTCTCCTTGTCCAGATCTATTCCGCCCCCAGCTATCTTCTATTCATTGAACTTTTTGAAACTTTTCACTTTTAGAGAGAGGTAAGGGATTGACTCTGTGTACACAAATTTGCAGAGGGACAATAGCGTTGAGGTCTGTTATTTCTCACCTCTGTATATTATTTATTTATTTAAAAGCATTTTTGCTATTAACAAGCATGTTACCTCTGGAGACACAAATCCACAGTTTGAGAACTGCAAAACTAAGCATCTCTGATGGTATCTTCTAGACTGAGCACTGAGTCCCATTGGGTAGATAGAAAGATTAACCTAAATAATCTATACAGAAGCCTGTGGAACTCCATAAGATTGGGTCCCTAATCCATGAACTATTAGAACCCATTCACAAAACTTTTCTTAAACATTACATGAATATATTGTCTCATACTGTAGAATTAGAATTTATAATCCCTATTCCATACTGAGATATAATGTATCTTAATTAAAACTATCTTTAGATAGGATTTTTCCTCAAAAAGCATTTTATCAAAAAAATCCAATTTAAATAAAATCATTGATTTTTATCCACCCTGATAGTGGGGCATGGTGGTGGGGGGGGATTGGTCCCCAGCTGGAGTGAGGCAGGAGCCAGGGGCAAGATGAGCACAGTGGGGCATGGGGGTAGGATTAGTCCCTCCTGACTGGAGCAAGGCAGGGGCCGGGGGCAAAAGCACAGCGGGTCGGGAGCTAGGGTTGGTCCCTGGAGCAAGGGAGGGACTGGGGGTAAACTGCAAGCACAGCAAGGCTGGGGAGGGGGTAAACAGGATCCCCGCCCTGCCCCTGCCCGAATAGAGCAGGTACCTACCTTCTCCCTGGTTCTAGCCCATTCTCTTCATCTCTCTCTGCACTGAGCTGCCCCTCCTCCAGTGTGATGAATTGGGAATGTTCTTAATGTTTTCTCTGAATACTGTGCGGGTGCCTCCGTTTCCCCTATGCATTTCTTAAGTATCTAGGTGGTGGGATAAGGGTGTATGATTGTTGCAGAGCCCTAGGCAGGTATGATGCTGTCTGCACAGAGAATGGCTGACAGGGGTGCAGGGTCTGACTAGGAGTTAGGGTGAGGGAGGGGGCTCAGGGTTGGGGCAGGAGGTGGGGGTGTGGACTGGGGTCGTGGGGGTGCTCCCAGCCCCCTGCCCTGAGTGGCTCACGGCAGGGGGATGGAGGGGGTATGCTCCGATTCCACACCCTTCCCCAAGGCCCCGCCCCCACCTCTTCTCTGCCTCCTCCCCCGAGCAGTGAGCGTCCTGCGGCCCAGCTCCTCCCCCTCTCTCATGCCGGCAAACAGCTGTTTGACAGTGGGGAAAGTGCTGGGAGGGGGAGGGGCAGGAACGCGGCATGCTCCGGGGAAGAGGCAGGGGAGAGGGGAGCTTGGCTGCTAGCAAAGCATGCCCTGCTGCAGCAGGAGCCCGCATTACCAAGCTTCTGCCCGCTGTCCCCGCAGGAGAGAGTGGGGGGCAAAGAACTTTGGAGCGTAGGCCTGGTGCCAGTGGCACCATGGTAAACCTGGTTCTGGTTACAGCTAATTTAAACCCCCATCATTTTGTATGTAAATTTGGGATTATGTTTTCCAGTGTGCATTACTTTGCACTTGTCAACATTGAATTTCATCAACCTTTTCAGTGCAGTCATCCAGTTTTGTGAGATTTAAAATAAATTAAATATCCTATCTCCTAGAACTGGAAGGGACCTTGAAAGGTCATTGAGTCCAGCCCCCTGCCTTCACTAGCAGGACCAAATACTGATTTTGCCCCAGATCCCTAAGTAGCCCACTTAAGGATTGAACTCACAACCCTGGATTTAGCAAGCCAATGCTCAAACCACTGAGCTATTCCTCCCCCCCCCCCCGATCCTTTTGTAACTCTTCATAGTCAGCTTTAGACTCAACTATCTTGAGTAATTTTGTATCATCTGCAAATTTTGCCACCTCTCTGTTTACCTCTTTTTCCAGATCATTTATGTACATGTTGAACAGCACTGGTCCCAGTATAGATCCTTGAGGGACCCCACTATTTACCTCTTTCTATTGTGAAAGCTGACCATTCATTCCTAACCTTTGTTTCCTGTCTTTTAACCCCTTACCGATCCATGAGAGGACCTTCCCCCCTTAATCTATGACGGCATAATTTGCTTTAAGAGCCTTTGGTGAGGGACCAGTCAAAGGCTTTCTGAAAGTCCAAGTATATCCACTGGATCACCCACCTTATTGTCCTTGATTCTGCTGGTCATAGATTCCTCCTTGTGTGCCATAGCTTCCCTTATCAGTTTTCTACAATTCCTCTGAGCTATATATATAAAATTAATAGCTACCTTCACTTCCCCTCTATACCACAGCATTTTTTTTAAGCAGTACAGCTTTCTTCTTCACTTGTGGCTTTTGGGGCACCTAGTATGGTGTTCTTAAATGATTCCCAATTATCATTCACATTTTTCTGATTAAGTTCTTCCTCCTGGTATATGATTTGGCTCATAATGGTTTTCAGTTTTGTGAACTGGGCCCTGATAAAGCACCAAGTATATATATTACCAGTCTAGATTTTATTCTGCTTGCACATTATAAATGTGATCAAGTCATTATCACTTGTACCTAAGCTACCATTAATGTTTAGGTCCGTGATTAGATTCTCTATCTGTTAAGACAAGATTTAATAAAGAATTATCTCATGTTGGCTGCAACACTTTTTGAATTAGAAAATTGTCATTTATAATGTTTAGAAATTCCAAGGATATTTTAGTACTGGCAACATGAGATGGCCAGCATATGTCACTCAAATTGAAGTCCCCCATCATTACAGTTTTTTTCCTCCTACACATTATAGATTGGGGTGTAAGGAGGCATAGTACAAGATATTATGCAGTTTCCTACTGTAGTGTTGATAAATTTTCACCACCAATTAGTAGAATATCAACGGTTACTTCCACCCAATCAGCTCCTTATAGATTGGGGGCCCCCGCCGCCGAATTGCCGCTGAAGACCCGGCACTTCGGCGGCGGGTCCCGGGGCGGAAGGACCCCCCGCTGCCGAAGACCCGGAGCGGAAAAAGCTCCGGGGGCCCGGGCGCGGCGAGAGTTTTCCGGGCCCCCTGAGCGAGTGAAGGACCCCGCTCCAGGGCCCCCGAAAAACTCTCGTGGGGGCCCCTGTGGGGCCCGGGGCCTGGGGCAAATTGCCCCACTTGCCCCCCCCCTCTGGGCGGCCCTGGCACTACCTGCAATGAGGCTGCCATGTGATCAGGACAGAATAGAGAATTTGAACACAGAGTGGACTATCATATGACGAATGAATGAAGATTTGACTTCAGCTTCTTTTTTTATCATCACTAATGGCTCAACCCTATCTTTGTGCTATGTTTCCTGGGATGAAAGAAGTAGGAATTCATCTCTTTCTAGTCCCAGTTACAATAGCTACAGTTGAGCGTTCTTTTTCCTCATTGAATACAATTTTGGATTCTGAAAGATGTTGCCTTCTGCCTGATCACGTGAATGAACTAATGAGCATATCAATTGAAGGAATGGAACTACCGGACACAGGAGAAGCCACTGAAGATGAACGCACTACATTCAAGAAGTTCATTCACATAATTGTGCAAAATTATAACAAGAAACCAGGAAGAATGAGATATAGTGTTTCATAGAAGGCTTGAGTAGCCAACTTTAATTTGTGTGATTTTAAAACATGAGTTAAATCTAATAAAATGGTCATGAAACATTTTTCTGTTTTTACTATGGTGCCATAGACCCCATCTTCACCCTCACGGTTTCACCCCTCATCGGCCCTGACCCCCACCCTGTAAATTCAAACACCCCCCTCTAATTTCAATTCCTGGGGAAAACACGACCTGTATCTTGGTTCTCAATGTTAGTTTCCTGTTATGCCAAACACGTTTGGTCATTTGGCCAAATGTGGTAGCTGCCTTTCTGATGCGAGAATTAAGCTAGTCATCTAGAGAGAGATTATGATACAGATGATCCTAGACATCAGAACTTGTGCACAACTTCTACCAGGATGTTAGCTATTGAAGCTTCTGGTGCAGTCAACACACCTTGTGCCATAATCATTTTATGTACTCTGATGTTTAGTCCAAATTCATCACAAGCTGCTAAGGCAAAGCTGTGCCAAAATTGCTGGAGCTCCTCTTTAGTGTGTGCAATGAGCACTGCATCGTCTGCAAAAACAAGTTCTGTTATCAACAGGCATTTAACTTTGCCTCTTTTTTGCTTTTAGACATGAAATGTTAAAGAATTTCCCATCTGATCTTGTATGCAGATGTATACCTTCAGTACTAGATGAGAAAGCATGACAAAGCAACAGAGAGAAGAATATACCAAAGAGTGCTGGTACCAAAATACATCCCTGTTTGAAACCACTGTGACTGTCAAAGCTGTCAGATTGATCAGCCTCAGATTTAACTGTAGTTTTATGCCATCATGGAAGGCTCAAATCAGACTGAGGAGCACTGGGGGACAACCAATTCTCTCCAACACTAGGAAAAGGCCCTTTGTGCTGAGCAGGTCAAAAGCCTTTGTGAGATCTTCTACCATAATAAACATGAATATTAATAGAATAAGCCAGGAGGGAAGTTTAAGTTACCCATTGTCAGAGGGAGGAAGATGAACAAAAAGGCAAAGCATGAGAAGATAACATGTCCTCTCCCTAGAGACAACTGTGTTGTAGACTGGATGGTCAGTGACCACGTGGAGGGGTAGATGCTCAGTACCACCACATGAGCTCTTGGAGAGGAAGGTTCACTCTGGAGTGAAAAGATGTCAATTGGGAATAGCAGCACTGAATTGGTGCATTTGGTAAGAATAGCCACTAGGTGTCACAAAACTTGTATGTGTATACATACATGTTTGTATGTGTAGTTGCTGTTACTGGGCTATCGCTGTGCCAACGGTGGAAGAATTTTCAGGGGGCCCCTGAAGAAGTAAACAAAGAAAGAATCGAGGGGTAACTATGATAATCTTATTCATGGACTGAGAGTGAGCTTTGAATGCAGCAAAAAAATAAGTTATCAGAAGGGAGAAGAATTAGTTCTGCCATTCCTCAGAAAGAAGTCACATGGACTCAAGGGCCAAGCTAGCACAAACCAAAATGGCTATCTGTACATATGTACTGAACTTGAAGTTGAAAATGTAAGCGATCTTCCAGTTTTTCAAAGGACCAGACAGGATATAACCAGGGGCGGCTCTATGTTTTTTGCCACCCCAAGCACGGCAGTCAGGCGGCCTTTGGCGGCACGCTGGTCACGCGGATTTGGCGGATTCGGCGGCGTTTCTGCGGGTGATATGCCGGCCCCGCACCTTCGGCATACCCGCCGCCGAATTGCCGCCGAAGCCGCAGGACTGGCGGACCTCCCGCAGGCATGCCGCCGAAGGCTCCCTGACTGCCGCCCTCACGGCGACTGGCACGCTGCCCCCCCGTGGCTTGCTGCCCCAGGTACGCGCTTGCTGCGTTGGTGCCTGGAGCCGGCTCTGGATATAACATACTAGTGGGACCACTGGTCTAATTCAGTGTGGCATTTCCTGGCTCTCATAGAATAGGGACAAAGAAGAGCATTTTAATTATTTTAAAAGGAACATTTTTTCAGTCTCATAACTCACATGGCTCATGTACCCCCCCCACCTCCAAACACCCCCCTCCTCCCCACACACACACTTTTCTGAGATATCTTTATGGTTGAGATAAAGCATGGAAATTTCAGCCCAATGAGAGATTTTTTGAGAAAGTTACAATGGAATGAAAATAGGGTTTAGAACCTTAACTGCTGTGATACTAATCTCAAATTTGACACGACTTCAGGGGATGCTCCTCCCAGATAACCTGACACTGAATATCAAGAAAGGAGAAAATTATGGAGTTATTTAGAAACAGCCTGAAGGAAGAAATTAAGGAATTAAAATCTATAGCATCACTGTGGAGTCTGTTAAAATCTAGTTAGAGTCCTACAAAGGATAAATGCCCCGGGGGGAAAAAAACAGGAAGTAAATGCAAGAAAAATAGTATTTGGGAGCGATTAGAGTAATTTAAACCAGGTTTAAATGTCAGCCTTATTTTTAGTTCTCCAGTAACTTTGGTTAACAAAATTGGTTTGACTTGAAGAATGCAGAAGATATCTCCTTAGCCAGGGATAGTCAATTCTTTTTTCCTCAAGGTCCAAATTTCTTGGTCAAGGTATAGTCAAGGTCCAGACTCCAGAGAAAATAATAAAAAAATCCCTAACAACGATAGCAAGTAAATAAAAAGATTTCAGGGTCCATTCAAAAGCATCTGGCAGTCCAGATTTGGCCCACGGTTTGCCTATTCACTAGAGTAAAGGAGGCAATGCGTGAAAACATTTTTTGAGGTATAGGTAAGAAGTTAACCTAATTTGAAATGAGGACTTGAACATTTCTTTGAGTCACTGCAGCTCAAAAAAGGATTGTTACAGCCCCTTCAATTTTTCAATCTAGTTAAATCTCCCAGAAAGCTCATTCACAGGCTAGACTTAATGAACAGAGATTGTAATCAAGCAAAGGTTACGTTATGTGTATATACACATAATTCTGCTACCTGCTTGCATCCTAGAGAGTGACCAAAGGGTCTTTCTGTACTTCACCATTATAACAGATTGATTTTTGTTTTGTTGGGCCTAGGGGCTAGATGATCAGCATGCTAGTTCTGGGTTTGCAGTTTTGTTCAATCTATTATATATCTTTGTTATTTATAGTGGTGGATATTCTACAGAATGGCAGCTCATTTTGTTTTCTTCTTTTCTGGTAAGTATGAAGAAAATTGGTCAACCTGTTATTGTATTATGTGTCATTAAAGATCCCCCTGAATATAAAACCAGTCTGTAGAAGCTCCGTAATTAAGGTTGCAAGCAGGGTTCCCTTATGAGCCCTATATTCACTCCTTCGTTCTGCCTCAGAAAATTATCAGTTTAAGTTTGGCATGTCAGCAGTTAACATGCTAAACTTATTTTCGTTCTACTGTAGTTTCAGGGCCCAGTAGTTTGAAGGCAAATCATCAAACCAACTTTGAATTAGCGATCCTTAAATCTGAGAATTTTAACATGTTGCTCCCCAGAATTTTGCTCCCCAGAATGAATTATCCTTCACTTACACCAGGTTCAGTCATGTTCACCTCTGCTGAGGGCAGTTGAGTGACACTGGGGTAACACTTGAGAGAAGAATGAGGCCTAAAGTATTTAATTTGTTTGGGTTCCTTATGCTAGAAAATATTTGATTATAAAAATTACACATTAAAAACAAATGAAAACCATTTAGTCTATGATCTAGAGCAGCCATCTCAAACTCTGGGGCCTGGCCCCATCTGTGGGAAAGGGGCTGAATTAGGACTCACTTCTGTTTACAGTCCTAAAATTAAGAATATGCCAGTGGCTGGGAACCTCCCTGTTAAAGTCCTTCCTGCACCCAGCTGGGTTGCAGGGACTGAGTGTAGATTCTCCTGCACTGACTCCTCCAACCCCCCTGGAATCTGCTGTTGGGTTGACATTTAGTGCAGGGAGAGGTCCCCACTCCTCTATAAAGTGCTTCCCCTGCTGGTGCACAGGTAGATGGAAAAGACAGAGTTAAGCGGAGGAAGGAGTTTGTCATCTCAGGGCCTTGCTGGCAAGGTGTGACCTGGGCTCTTCAGATCGTAACAGGAAGTAGGGCCACAATGGGTGAGTCTGCACTGGGATCCCCTCAAATTCTTCACTGCCCCCAATAATCCCCTTCCAAGCTGCTAGACTCCTGTCACCACCCATGTTCCCCTCACTCCCTTCAAAGCTTTTGATACGGTCTCCCACAGTATTCTTGCCAGCAAGTTAAAGAAGTATGGATTGGATGAAAGCTAGCTAGATCGTTGGGCTCAACGGGTCGTAATCAATGGCTTGATGTCTAGTTGGCAGCTGGTATCAAGCGGAGTGCCCCGGGGTCAGTCCTGAGGCTGGTTTTGTTCAACATCTTCATTAATGATCTGGATGATGGGATGGATTGCACCCTCAGCAAGATCGGGGATGACACTAAGATGCGGGGAGTGGTAGATACGCTGGAGGGTAGGGTAGGGTCCAGAGTGACCTAGGCAGATTGGCGGATTGGGCCAAAAGAAATCTGATGAGGTTCAACAAGGACAAGTGCAGAGTCCTGCACTTGGTACGGAAGAATCCCATGCCCTGCTACAGGCTGTGGACCGACTGGCTAAGTGGCAGTTTTGCAGAAAAGGACCTGCAGATTACAGACGAGAAGCAGGATATGAGTCAACAGTGTGCCCTTGTTGCTAAGAAGGCTAATGGCATATTGGGCTGCATTAGTAGGAGCATTCCCCTCTATTTGGTACTGGTGAGGCCACATCTGGAGTATTGCGTCCAGTTTGGAACCCCCCCCCCCCACTACAGAAAGGATGTGTGCAAATTGGAGAGAGTCCAGCGGAGGGCAATGGAAATGATTAGGGGGCTGGGGCACATGACTTATGAGGAGAGGCTGAGGGAACTGGGCATATTTAGTCTGCAGAAGAGAAGAATGAGGGGGGATTTGATAGCAGCCTTCAACTACCTGAAGGGGGGTTCCAAAGAGGTTGGAACTAGGCTGTTCTTAGTGGGGGCAGACAACAGAACAAGGAGCAACGTTCTCAAGTTGCCATGGGGGACGTCTAGGTTGGATATTAGGAAAAACTTTTTCACTAGGAGGGTGGTGAAGCACTGGAATGGGTTACCTAGGGAGGTGGTGGAATCTCCATCCTTAGAGGTTTTTAAGGCCCGGCTTGATAAAGCCCTGGCTGGGATGATTTAGTTGGGGTTGGTCCTACTTTGAGCAGGGGGTTGGACTAGATGACCTCCTGCGGTCTCTTCCAACCCTGATATTCTATGTTTCTATGAATATCCTGCTCCCCACTAGCTTCCCTAGATACACTTCCGCTCTGGACAGATTAAATGTGGCAATGACCACAGGAACCTACAGCAGTGAGCTGAAAAGGACCACAGGTCTGGCTTGTCAGATTATTGTGGAAAAGAGATTTTTAAAGTTGTTTAGAAGTATTTTTAAAAAGGTAAAAATGCTGCTCCCTAAATACATTCCTGGAGTTCTTAAAACAATACAATTAATTCTGCCCTCGATATGTTAATACTGCCCCTAAGATTAGCACTATACAGTATAAAAAAGGACATGCTAAATGCATTAAAAACTGGCTAACTGACAGATCTCAAAAAGTAGTTGTCATTGGGGAATCATCACTGAACAGAGGTGTTTCTAAAAGGGTTCCACAGTGATTGTTTTGGGCTCGACACTATTCACATCCACCCTGACTGAATTGGCCTTGTCAACACTGGTTCTCCACTTGTAAGGTAACTCCCTTCTCTTCATGTGCCAATATTTATGCCTATATCTGTAATTTTCATTCCATGCATCTGAAGAAGTGGGGTTTTTTACCCACGAAAGCTTATGCCCAAATAAATCTGTTAGTCTTTAAGGTGCCACCGGACTCCTCATTGTTTAAGTAATTCAAAATAATCCTCAAAATAAAGGCCCAAAATAAGCAACCCCCAGCCCTATCTAGCTGGAGTTCTTTCACAGGCCTCTGCCAGCCTGGTCAAATCTCAGGCTCTAAAAGGTCAGCAGCCCAACCTCTTCCGCTGCAGTTCCAGCACCCTCTTGGATCCTCAGGGTCCCTGCAGTCTTGGTAGCTCTTGCCAGGCTTCTATCCCCCCGCCACTCCTACCCCTTCCTAACTGGAGTGTTTTGTCAGGCTCAAACCTCTGAGCACAAGTCTCAGACGCGAGCTTCCTGCTTATTACAGCTCTCACCTACGTCTGCTTTCTCCGACCAGCTATTGTTTCCCATCTCTCCTGGCTGGCGCCCCCAGCCCTCTTAGCTGGAATGTTCTCTCCCCCGGGTCTGGCCTGAGTTAATCACATGACCTTCTTTCATCATTAGCCACCTTGGGAGGTGAGCTGATATTGTCACAGGTGAGGCTAATGCCCCAGTTCCCCTTAAGGGGCCAGCAACCACGTGACACTTCCCCAGAAATAATACAATGAATGCCATTTCTTCCTGTTTTCCTCTCCCCTTTTCCACTTAGGATGAACACATTTGCTGCTGTTGCTCCCATGTCTCTCTTCGGACTTGGAAGACACACAGCCTCCCAGTTGCTCCTCTTCCTCTCTGCATCTTTCTCTGTCCAGGGGTCGGCAACCTTTCAGAAGTGGTGTGCCGAGTCTTCATTTATTCACTCTAATTTAAGGTTTTGCGTGCCAGTAATACATTTTAATGTTTTTAGAAGGTCTCTTTCTAGAAGTCTATAATATATAACTAAACTTTTGTTGTATGTAAAGTAAATAAGGTTTGTAAAATGTTTAAGAAGCTTCATTTAAAATTAAATTAAAATGCAGAGCCCCCCCGGACCGGTGGCCGGGACCCCGGACAGTCTGAGTGCCACTGAAAATCAGCTCGCGTGCCGCCTTCGGCACGCGTGCCATAGGTTGGCTACCACTGCCCTACTCCTTCTTCCCGTGCCTTGCAGGAGTGGAGTGGGACCTCTAAGAGAAGGAGCTGAGCAGCCCCAGTGAGACTAGTTGTTTCAGAGGAGGGAGTGGAGCCACTGCATTTTTCAAAGGAAGGGAGGGGGGAGCTGAGTGATTCCTGATCCTCTCCTCCTGCTCAGTCTGTTAAAAGAGCATTGGTGCTGGGCCTTGTCTGCTTCCTGGTCTTTCATTCTCTCCTGTAAAACATGGAGCTTCTCCAGCAACTCTTCCCTCTTCAAAACCAGCAAGTGGCTTCTGGGCTGCTTAGCTACTTCCCTTGGAGGCCTCTGCACCTTCGAGGGGAGGAGAGGGAAAGAGGAGCAGATGGCCTAGTACAAAGTGTGGAGTTTCTCAGACCCAGAATGATGGAGCAGCTGAAACAATGGACCAGGCTCCCCCTATGAGTTGCTATTGATTATTGCTTCATCTGTCTTTAGAGAAATGGATATTCTGTGCACACAAAACAAGCTCATCCGTCTCACTGAAGCTTGCCACAGTACTGGTAAGGCTATTATTTTATATATCTCAGTAATAATTGTTTTATTAATATTCAGTTTATGAATATTGCATCTACCACATGTGAAGATGGGACATAAACTCACTAGCTTTGGTAAAAGTGGGTCCTGAGTCAATGAGTTGTTAGAGAACCACTGGCTGATGCCTGAATTCTTAATGTAAGCGTATAACTTAAGGCTTTTGCTAAGTAACATCCTGTTAAAGCAAATGTCATAGGTTAATTATACACAACACAAAGATATATTTTCTTTATTCATTCCAAATTTCTTGCTTTTTAATTTAATTGAGCACTCCCTTGTTTTTATGTTATAGGATTTGGGAACATGATTTCTAACAAACTTTCCTAGGCCGTGCATTCTTCTATATCCTTCTATCATGTTTCCTCTTGGTCTCCTCCTTCCCAAAAGTAAATTAGTCCTAGTCTCTTTAATCTCTCCTTGTACAGAAGTCTCCTCCTCCTCCCAGCCTTTAAGCATGTTCTTTGTCTTTCTCAGGATTTACCATTTCTAATCTGTCTGTTTTGAGTGATACCATATGAGAATGTGTCCCTGTTGCCCTTCTTCCTGGGCTGGTTATATGACTGCTGATCTTTGATGGTGAAATAAGGAAGCAGTTCTTGACGTTCCTCTGTCAAGGCCAGTGTTGACATGTAGACAGATTCTTGAATCTGCCACCTGGGTTTGCTTCTGAAATATGTAGGAAATGGTTACCACAGCTGCATGCATAACTTCCCTCTTCCCCTCCTTCTCTGCGACCTGCTGCAAGCAAAGACAATGTGGATCTATTTAATATTGCATTAGGGACTGGCAAAGGCACCTTCTGTTTTCCACTTCATGATTAATTGTTTCAGAAACCTTCATACCCATTCAATCCCCAGAGATAATGTCATTGGCTTTTAATTCCTGCAGATTTGTTCCCAAGCTCCCACCCAGCACGTTTTCTTGTGGCTGTTTCCTTTCCTGCTCTCCATAGGGAAGGATTCTCTCTGGCTTCCACTGTAACTTTCTCCATTCCTCCCTCCTCTCCTGTTCCCTGGTCATCAAGCTAGCATGTCCTAAATTCCAATCTGTGCTTGGATTTTAAAGCAGCATGTCCTATCTCCTGGCAAATTTTAAACAACTAGAAAAATTATTGTTTATATGTCATACAATTAATCTGTAGAACCTACTGGAGCAGGATATTATTGAGGCAAATAGCTTGGTAAGGCTAGAAAGAAGGGACTGGACATTTGCATGAATAAATATTGCATCTGCAATGATGCTAATTGTGATAAAATAATAAAGGCTTGTGATCAACAGATTTCAGCATTTAAGGTGATCACCATCTGGGTGCAGGAAAAATTTCTCCTGCTATTTCAGATGCAGTCAACTCTGGTTTTCAGCACCTCCAGTAGTAGGAGACTGGCAGCCATTTGTCAGCTTTGTTATTATGATTTCCGGGCTGAATTCTCCCTCCAGACCCTGAGCTGTGTGGAAATTACATCTGGTTTCCTCTTTTTTATTTTTGTATTTTAAAACTTCCTCCCCAGATTGTCTGGAACCTTAACAGAGTACAAATGCTTTTCTGCCTTTGGGGGTTTGTTTTCTTTATAGAAACCTCAGTAACATAGTAGCTATGGTTACCTTTCCGTAGTTTGTAACTAACATTTCAAATTCTACCCATAAACAGAGGGAGAAAACAAGTCAAATTGCAAAAGCTGGATCCTGCTTCCCCTTCCAGACCGAGTCTAAACGAGCATGTTGCATGATGCTACAGAGTCTGCCCTCCCCCACTCTGGGCCATGGGGAAGTTCCATAGACCACCATTTCTCAAATGCGGCCACCATGGCCGCATGCGGCCACCAGTGGGTATCCCTGCGGCCACGGCAGTTTCCTGGGCAGTGGGGAGGGGGAGCATCAGCCCCTCCCTTTCCTCACTGTTGCTTCTGCATGTGCGGCCTCTCTGGAGACACAGGTGGGACACAGAGGTGAGGAGGCGAGAGGCGAGGTGAGCAGTGGGCAGGGGGGTGAGGAGGTGAGCGGTGGGTGGGGGGCTGGCGGGGGGGTAAGAAGGCAAGCGGCGAGCCGGCAGGCCGGGGGGGCGGGTCCGGCTCCAAGCTGGGGAGTGAGGAGGTGAACGGTGAGCCACCAGCGAGCGGGGGTTCTCACGGCTGGTGGGGGGAGTCTGTGGCAGGGGAGTGAGGAGGTAAGCGGCGGGTGCGGGGGTAAGAGGAGGCGAGCAGCGGGTGGGCATCTGAGGAGGGGCCCAGGAGGCGAGCGGCGGGTGGGCGACTGAGGAAGGACACAGGAGGCGAGCGGCGGGTGGGGGACTGAGGAGGATGCAGGAGGCAAGCGGCGGGTGGGGGTCTGAGGAGGGACGCAGGAGGCGAGCGGTGCATGGGGGACTGAGGAGGGATGCAGGAAGCGAGCGGCGGGTGGGGGGTGAGGAGGCAAGTGGTGGCACATGGGCAGTGGGTTGAACCTCCCTTTGAGGAGGTTAGCTCCCGACTCCACCCCTTCCACCTGCATCCGGAGCCCTGAGACCCTCTGCCCAGCCCTGTGGCTGGAACCACAAGCCCCCCGCCTGGAAAAGCCCTGAGTGCCCCCGCCCTCGGCTGGAGGAGCCCCGGGCTGGCCGAAGCCCCGAGACAGCCCCCCACCCACACACATACACCTGCCCGGAGGAGCCCTGGGCTGGCCGAAGCCCGGAGTGCATCCCCTCCCCCCTTCCGGCCGGTCGAAGCACCGAGCACGCCCATCTCCCCAGAGGAGCCCTGGGCCAGCTGCAGCTGTGCCCCCCCTCCCCAGACCCAAGCCTCCCAGATATGTTTTTCGTTGTTATTTGGACTTCTATTATGTCAAAGCATTTTTAAATTTACTTCAGAATTGTTGTACAGACAACCACTTTTACCAAAAAAGCAAAAGAAACAATAATAAAAAAGACAAGAACGTGCAAAGCACCTTATTTGTGTTCTATTCTGTTAGGTCCAGTAAAGAATAGAGATAACTGTGCAATATTTTTATTATTGAGTCTACAAAAAAATCCCCAAACCTTACATAAATAAATTACAATGATTTGGATGTATATATGTGCATATTACTTTATTAACTTTAGGAAAAATAAATAATTTTAGGAAAAAGTGTCAGTGTGGCCACGAGCAAGAGTTGGTGGCCACACTCTGAGGCCACCAAAAAATTTGTTGCGAGAACCTCTGCCATAGACTACTGTCTTCTGTGACCCTACAAAGGAGGTTTCCATACTTGGCTGGGTCACATTGCGTTCCCTCAGTCAGGGGATTCATATTTTGGGGTAAATTGAATAACTGCATAATCATATATCCACAAAACCCATGTCCTTCCTTGCCCCTACCCTTTCTGAGTATGCAATGGACTCATTTCACTGTCAATCCATCGGTTAGTCTGCATGGTCTTTGGGTCAGAGACCTATCTCCTAGGCATCTTTTGTGAAGTGCCTAACATGCTTTTGGGTGCTATAAAAAAAATAACCTGCCACAGGGCACAATAACCCCCTCTCTACAGGAACCCTCCAGTGCCTATATTGATGGATGTTAATTATGTAAGTATTCCAAGGAGAGAGAACTAGGAGCAATAGGATGTAATTAAGACAAAGATAATTTAGGAGGAACCTCAGGAAAAAAATTCTGGACAAGATTTTTCATACTGTGGAATAGTATCCCAGAGGAAGTAGTGGAAGCCTCAGTACTTAGAATGTTTAAACCCAGACTGGACAAAGCAATCATGGATATACTGAAGCTTTGCACTGGTCCTGGGGTGAATGGACTAGATGCTGTCTATGGCACATTTGTTAGTGACTGAATGGATCCTGAGTATGGATTACTGCCCAGTTACCAACATTGATGGTGGTATAGCCCACCTATTTAATGTGTGGTTTCTTTCTGAAAAGTGTCTGTAAAAATGACCCCTTCTTCCTGAACAGATCTGCTACCTCTCTTTATTCAGAGACATGTGTGCAGACTTTACTTACAACAGTTAATATAATGAGGCTGCACAGGTATCAAGGGCAGAATGTGACCTGCAGAATCTTTATTACCGATGGTGATGTGTGAACCAGAGAGAGCTGAGCTTGCCTTTCAGATCAAAGGCTGAGTTTGCCAGGTGAGCAATTAGAACAACCATCTTTTTACTTGTATTGAACCAACTTCTGTTGGTGAAAGAAACAAGTTTTTGAGCTACACAGAGCTCTTCCTCCGGTCTGGGAAAGGTACTCAGGGCTTCTACACACTAGCACTTACTTTGGTATAACTTAAGTCACCCAGGGGTGGGGAAAAGCCACTTCCAGAGCGATATAAGGTACACCAAACTAAGTGCTGATGTGAAAGCTCTCCTGCCGACATAGCTACTGCTGCTCTGGAAGGTGTAGTAATTATGTCAACGGGAGAGACTGTCTGCATCAGCAGTGCTCCAGTGGCACAGCTACATCCTACAGCTGCGTCACTGTAGCGATTCTAGTGTACACTAGGATGGCAACTAAATACAAGGTTGAGCAGATAGTTCAGTATAAGTCATTGGCACATATTCTAAGGCACCATTCAAGATGAAGTGGCCCGTTAACAGCTCTGTAGTCAAAAGACAAAAAGGGGGGTGAGTTGGTTTATTACGACCATGATTTTTAATGTCTAGCAAAGTTGTGAATTTAAGCATCCAGGCAAGCTGGCCTATGTCATAAATGGTTACATACACCAAAAATCACAGCAATATTCATGTTACTCCCAGTCACTTAGTGCCAGTCACTTACCCAGGTCAGTTGAATCTCAGATCTCAAACCAAAGACAGTGCCTGTAGCTAAATAGAAACGTCTATCATAAGCAAACCCTATATGTCCTTTGGGGCTAACCCAGGCAAAACAACTGGGGGTCTTTTGCTTATGCTTAGAGATTCTTGCCCCTTTAGAGTCCAAGCAGCAAAAAGAACCTGCGCAACACTTTCAAAAGACAAGCCTGGGAGCTTAATGTCATAACTTGGCTAA